TGCTCTGCTTTTTTGTTTCTAGCTGATCGTTGTTGTGTCTCTCTCTCATTCACTAAAGCTTTACTTTTCTTTTCCCAGTTGGCCGATGAGTCTTTTGATACTGTTCTGGATAAAGGTGCTCTTGATGCTTTGATGGAGCCAGAAGTTGGTACCAAGCTCGGAAATCAATACTTATCAGAGGTATTAGTGAACTTCTTTTGTTTAAGAAATTGCATTATAATGGGATGAGTGTAGGATCAAACAATGAAAGTTATGTGCTTTAAATGCTTCAACTCGATTCAGTTTGATCATTAGTAACTCTTTTCTTAGGCCAAGCGGGTTTTGAAACCTGGGGGGAAGTTCATCTGTCTAACTCTGGCGGAGTCTCATGTCTTAGGTACTTCCACCACCTTAGCTTCTCTTATTATTATTAGGTGAAGCTATTTCATAGTTACCGTTATCTTCATTCTATTGTCCGTTTTAGTTGATATTCTTTTGTGTTTTTGCAGCATTGCTCTTTTCAAGATTTCGTTTTGGCTGGAAGATGAATGTTCATTCAATTGCTCAAAAACGCTCGAATCTTAAGACGTTTATGGTGGTGGCTGAAAAGGAAAATTCCGTTTTATTGCATGAGATAACCTCTGCTTTCGATCTTTTATCTCTTGGCCGCAATGATAGTCAGGTAATTATTTCCTGTTAAATTTGACATAATTGTAAATTGAAACCACCTTTCCCTTCATATATCGATTTTTTCTAGCTCTTGAAGACACTTTATGTGCAATTCTCCAATGTAATATATGATTCTGAATTATAATGTAGGGTTCTGGTATGTGTGAAGCCCTCGAGAGTGAGAACCAAATACGTAGAGACTGCAATAATGGCTCAGACTTATTGTACTCTCATGAAGATTTGAAACTTGGTATTAAAGGAGATTTGGCAGCGCTTACTGGAGGTCGCCGTATAAAATTTACTTTGGGTGGCCAAGGAAGCAATTTCAGTTATAGGGCCGTGCTTCTTGATGCTCAGAGACAAACTGAGCCATTTGTATATCATTGTGGTGTTTTTCTTGTCCCCAAGGTAAGCTTTGTCAACATCATAAATCCTTAATATTTAAATTCTTGAAATTGCTGTGAATATATAATTTGTTTTTGTTTGATTTATTAAAAGGAGTGTTAAATTTCAGACTCGGGCTCATGAGTGGCTGTTCTGTTCAGAGGAAGGACAGTGGCAGGTTGTTGAGAGCTCTCAGGCCGCTCGTCTCATAATGGTAAGCTTTTTATGGTAAAACCTCTTTATATACACCATGTTACCATGATCTATTTTCGGCATGAGAATCTAAACACATCTTAATTTCTTGATGAAGGTTTTTCTCGACAGTAGCCATAGTGGAGCCACCATGGAGGATATCCAGGTAGGTACTATCAGCATTTTTAATTGTCTAATGCATTACGTTGTTTACTTATTGATTAATTTTATTTGGTAAACTTATTAATCTCAGAATGATTTATCTCCCATGGTGACACAACTAGCTCCTAGAAATGATGATGAAGAAGCTCGCATTCCGTATGTTTACCGTTCTTTTTTTTTCTATATTCTCCATGCTTTTGGTGCAACAGTAATCCTAACTCATTCTATTTCCGCCGTTATCGCTTGTTAATTAATAGTTGAATTGAATTGGTGCTGCAGGTATATGATGGCAAGTGATGGGATCAAAAAGCGTGATACTGTCCACGAGGTATTATTACTAGATACATGCAATTAATCACTTAATAAAACTGTTATTTGTTGTCGCTTCTATTTCTCACCGTTTACAGATATGATCATGGTTTCCGTTATTGATCTCCGCGATTAGACTTTTATCCACCACTATTTAGCAAATTTTAATACTACTGGTTGGTAAAAATACGTAGTTATGGGGATCTTTTTTGTTTCTTACTATTCATTTTGATTTGTAGGTTACATCTTCTTTGACTGGGGAAGTGGTTGTTGAAGATGTGGTTTATGAAAGCGCTCCTAGTAATCTAGAAGACTTGTCTCCTTCTAGCGATTTGGCATTTCGACGCCTTGTATTCAAAAGAACTGAGGGTTTGATTCAGTCTGAAGCTTTGCTTGTAGAGGATGGGGAGATTCTTGAACAGTCTCAGAAAGAAAAAACTAAAGATGTTTCCCAATCGAAACGAAAGGGAAATAAAAAGCAAAATCAAGGTAAATTTTTTACTTCTGTAGGTGTTTTGATATAGACATTTCAGATGAAAATTTCATGATCTTTTTTTGCATGTATCCATTTCAGAACCAAGCAAGCCTCTTATGAGGGTCTCTCATGATTATCTGGCTAGCTCGTACCACACCGGAATTATTTCTGGATTCACATTGGTATCTTCGTACTTGAAGAAGGCTGAGTCATGCGGAACGATGGTGAGCATTATTAAGTTGTGGCTTCGTTGTTTCTAGATTAAGTTGCCTTGTACTGATCCAGAAATGTTCTGATGCTTTTCAGGTTAAGACTGTTGTAATTGGTCTTGGAGCAGGATTACTTCCCATGTTCCTCCATGGATGCTTGCCATTTTTCAGTATTGAGGTCATTTCAGTTTAAATGATTAATCACGTTGAGTATTTTCGATTGCCACTCATATCATGTATCCTGTTGAATAGGCGGTTGAGCTTGACCCAGTAATGCTTAATGTTGGCAAGGATTACTTTGGTTTCACACACAATGATCGCTTGAAGGTAAATTCTTTCTCTTTGAAACAAAAGTGCTAATGTTTATCATGTTTATATTCGATTCTATTATATGCACCATCACTCAGCTTTTTCGCATTCTTATAATAGGTTCATATTGCTGATGGGATCAAATTCATTAGAGATATAACAAACTCTGAAGCTTCGTCTGAGGAAACGTCAAACGGTGGCTCAAATGGAGATTCAACGGCTCACAATACCCAAGGTGGAACTTGTCCTGACATTTTAATTATAGATGTGGATTCAGCAGATTCAAGGTAAAAGACAAGGCCAAGTAATATTATACATATCTACGAATTTTCCCACATGGTTAGACTGATTTCCTGATTTTTTTCTCGTTTGATCTCTTGTCTGCAGCGGCGGATTAACCTGCCCTGCATCTGATTTTATCGAAGAGACATTTCTTCTTTCGGTTAAGCGAGCTCTCCCTCAGCACGGTCTTTTCGTAGTGAATTTGGTCTCGAGATCACAATCCGTCAAAGATATGGTAGTAGCAAGAATGAAAAAGGTAAAGCAAATGTGATTCGCTCCTTATAAACTCTCTGCATATTTTCACAAATCTGATCTGATACTGTTACACGAAAACTGGGTTTGAGTCATAGAATTGATCTCTTTTGTTTTGTTATTATCAAGGTTTTCGATCATTTATTCGGCCTGCAACTAGAAGAGGAAGATGACGTAAACGTAGTGCTCTTTGGGCTTTGCTCTGAATCTGTAATCAGCGAGAACGATATTCCAGAATCTGCAGTTATACTGGAGGGATTGCTCAAATGCCAGAGATTAGAAACGAAGCAAAGCATCATAGACGCTACAAAGAAGTTGAAATGCTGGAAATAAAAACATTCTTTATTATTCGTTTTAAAAGACTTGTAGGATATATTTCTGTTATAAGTTAAGATTTAGAATTTTGAGAGTATATTATACACCTAGTTTCGTCCTTACGCAAATGGAAAACGAAGCGTGGGGTTTTTCATAACCTTTATGATTGTTAGACCTACCAACTTATTGAAGCATTCAATTTGGATGATAGTGAAGTTGGAATGTAAGTTAAACATCAATATCTTTGATTAATTTTGTTCATTTTTGGAAACTATCCGTATTGTTTCTAATTTGAGTGATACGTAATTACGTAACCATGCGGTTAGAATGGTGTGATTAACACAATTGCGGTTGATTATCGTTTCTTTTAATCTACTAATTATGGTTGGAAGATCGTAAATAGGGAAAGAAATTCTTCAATATAGGCCCATTTTGGTGCGTGCGTAAGCGGTAAGACTGTTTAAAAAGAGAGATCCTAAATTGAAATACCTAAACCAAAAATCTGGTCGCCGCGAAGACGAAAGAAAAACATTTGTGACAAAGAAACAAATTCAGAAACCGTGTGGGTCCGACTTGGAACGCTGTTTAATTGTAATTGCAAACATTTCAATTTTTTTTTTTTTTTTTCTACTTTCAAATATTTTGCATGTAAAGGTAACTTCATTGAGGTTTGCCAAAATATTTTAGAGATATATATTGACAGCAATTGTAGGTTAATATGGGTTTAGCACCGTTTTAGTTTTAGTTAGGTTAAATGGTTAGTATTCAACTATTTATTTTTGTTTTTTGACAGCAATTGTAGGTTAATATTTACTTTGGAAAAACAAAAGACGATAAGATTCTGTTCATATAAACAAAAAACTGTGAAGCCGTATAGTTGAAACTTGAAAGTTGAAAGTGTGAATGTACTCTCGGAGAGTCGGATATATCAATCAACCAAATGGTACGCTGCATTAACCAACCTCTCGTATAAAATTTCAAAGAAAGCATAAAAAACAAGAAAAAGCAAAAAGTTGAAAAAGAAGAGACAGATGCAGCAGAATTGGTCAAAATCATTTTGACAAAACCAAATAAAAAACAACCAAATGTCACTTTCAAAATAATTAGTTTATTTATTTTATGATGAAAATAATGAAAGCGACTTCTATCTGGGACTGGTAAAAGGACCTCTCTCTCCATTGGTTGTACATTAGCTGTCAAATTTTTACATTTCCATTTCATTCTTTAACCCCAAATATATACACTAACTAAATTCTTCAAGTTTCTTCCTAAATACTACTATAGTAATTATTTTCTAATCAACAATAATCCGGTCCAATTACATTTGAATTGAACAGAATAAAATTTTAGAATTCTTTGTATAATTATTTTCCTAACAATTATATTTTTGTCTCACAAAAAAAATCTAAAAGATTTTTATGAGAATAAAGGAAAAACAAAGTAAAGAAAAAGACTATAGGAAACATAGCCCCCTCTTCTCTTTGCTTTCTTCTCTACATAATAAAACTCCTCTCTCTTTCTCTCTCTCTCACGACCCTTTAAGTTACGACGCCGTTTTCATCCAAACACAAACCTCTGGATTCGTGTCACCGTAGAAGCTCCGGCTCTATTAAAGTCTTTCTTCAAGAACTGAAGACAAAATAAAGAAAGAATATATAAACACTAGAGAGACCAAGATCCTCGTTTATGGGTTTCATCGTGTTTTGTGACATAAAAACCCATTTAAAAGATTAGGACCAAGAAGTTTTCAGAGTTTGTGAAGTTATTGTTGGTTAGTGTGCTGTTTCTGGCAAATGCTGAGTCTCTTTTCTCTGTAAGTATTTTTTCCTTCATTTACTCTGTTTTGTTCCTCCTTTTTGGTCTTTTTGACTTAACTATCTAAAGGCAAAAGAAATTGATAAATCTTTTGGTATTTTTTGTTATCATCTTCTTGTGGGGTTTTCTACTGAAGTTTGCTTGGCTTTGAATCTTGTCTAATGTCTATAGAAGCTCACTTTTAATGATTAACTAATGAGTTATATGAACTAACTATATGAACTAATTAATGAGTTAATTCCGTAGTTTCATGCATTAAACAATGTATGTCTATGTATGGAAGCAAAGTATGATATCATATTTAAACATCTATGATTGTGCTACTAAAGTTTAAATAATACTTTAAGCTGATGTGATCTTATAGGGATAAACTCTGACCATTATCTACTTTTTTTGACCATTGCTCTAATTTTCTAATCCAAAAGTCGTATCTTCCAATGCATTGGTTGGTCCAAACCTAGATTTGCATCCCTTTGTTGTTCACATTTAACTGTAATGTTGAAACGAATGCACCAATTTGTTTTGTCTGTCTGAGAATACCTCAAGGCATATAGTTTTGTCCTTATGACGCTTGCAAAAGCAAGTTGTTGAGTTGTAATCTTATGTTTTTTTCTGCAACTTGCTTTGGATGAAGCCATGAGATTAGCTTTATAAAGGGTAGCTAGTAAACCGGTTTCTTATGTCGAAAACCGATCTTTTTGTTTTTGTTTGATGACAAGGAATGGAATACTCTAGAGACTCGGCAGATATGATGATGGAGAATAAGCGCAATGTCTACTCTCCTGAAGAAAACAACATTAAACGACACAAGTCATCTGATCTCTCTTTTTCTTCCAAGGTCTTTCAAATACTTCAAAGTCAGAATTCATTGTGGCCATGAAGCTCCCTCCCATTCCTAGACCAGCATGCTAATGATCTCGAAACTTTGTTGTTCTGTGGTTTAAACAGGAGAGGAAGGACAAGTTGGGAGAACGTATTTCAGCTCTTCAACAACTAGTTTCCCCTTACGGAAAGGTACTACTTGGTCGAAATGATATGTTTTTGACATGCTCTTCGTGTTCTCTAGTCATGTTCAAGTATCTATCTCTGCAGACCGACACTGCATCAGTTCTTCTAGAGGGAATGCAATACATTCAGTTTCTTCAAGAACAAGTCAAGGTCTGCTCAAGTTTTCAAATCAAATATGTTTCGTTCATTCACCTCTTCCAATCCAACAACAATGATTATGCTTGATTGTCTCTGTTCAGGTTCTAAGCGCTCCATATCTGCAAGCAACCCCCACTACTTCGCAGGTGAGCAGAATCTATGATCTGGACCTCTTTTACTTGGATCACAATGCAAGACTGATATTTCCGTCTCTGTAACTAGGAGGAACTCGAAGAGTACAGCCTAAGAAGCAAAGGGCTATGTCTTGTTCCATTGGAGTATACATCAGGAGTTGCTCAAACCAATGGTGCTGATATTTGGGCTCCTGTGAAGACTCCAACATCTTCTCATGCTTTTAATCTCTCGTCTTCTAATTCGCCCTTTCGATGATTCCTGCTAAAATCTCTGTCTCAAGACTAATGAAGATTAGCCAAAACTTTGGTCTGATCATGTATTGATGATGGAGAGACCTTGAAGTCGGTGATGGCTGTTTCTGTTATTTTTACCGCTTAATCCCAACTACTCTGTTCTAATTACTTGGACTTGTAAAATTTGTTTACATTGGTAACAATTCATTCTAATGCAAAGTTTAACGAATCGGTCAATAACCGGAATTAGCTTCCGGTTAGAACTGGTGAAATAGTTGACCGGTTTATAGAAACCCGGAAAACCTAAACCCGACCCGACAGTGTCAAACCGGCTTTTGAAGAGTGCAGCTAGCTAAAACCCTAAAGCCCTGAAATCAAAGTTAAGCTAAGCAGAGAAGGAGACGATGGATCACTTAGCTGCGGCGGAGGAGCAAATCGTATCGGAGAGGCTTCGAAGAAAGCTTCAAGAAGTTAATGCAGCTGCTCAGACTCAGCTTTCTCCTATCCAAGATCACATCAATTTCACCCTCCAGGTATTCTTAAAAATCTGTACTTTTCGCGAGCTCAGCATAAATTGATGTCGCATCCTTCATATATTCTCTCTGGTATAACAATTTAGCAATGTTTAGCTTCTGAATATGGAATCTTTATTGCTTTGATACAATGCTAGCTCCAATATTGATGAATTGAGTAGGTTCATGAAAAAAGTCTGAAAATTTGCTTTGGGTTTCTTCTTTATTTGTCTTTAGAGTTGCTCCGGTTTTATTACTATGCTCTGTAAGATATTCGACAAGAAGGGTGTCTCGTTGCTAGTTCCAAATTTGAGTTAGATTATCTTTACGACTATGGACTAGGCACATGATAATGTTCCGAAAATTGCTTGTGGGTTGCTTCTATATTTGTCTTTAGAGACTATGGATCATATTCATGAAAATTTCTAACATTTGCTCTGCTTTGTCTCCAGAAGCATGAGTGTTATCAACACCTTCTCTTATATCTAGGGGGTGCTTATATTGAGTTATATGATCCAGTGATTCAAATTAATCAAACCCCGACAATGGTTTCATTGTTGCAGCAAGCTTATTTCAAATGTGCATATGAGTGCTTTGACAGAAGAAGAAAGCAAGAGGAGATAAGTAACTGTGTTGAGCACTGCAGTGTTCCCGTTGTCAAATCTCAACAGTATTTCGAGAACGAAATGGCTCAGTTTCAGGTAAAAATCCCGCTAAAAGATGATACATAATGTTTGGTGTGTATAAAGATGATAGCTGATCTTTGTTGAATGAATGTGTAGGAAAGATTGAACAGATCACTGGTGGTGTGCCAAGACAAGTTTGAGGCCTCAAAGCTCCAGAAGATAAGGCCTGAAGCGATTAACGAGATGGAGAGTTGCGTGCACAAATCCATTGAGGAAAATCTCAATACATTACCACATATTGTGCAGAGAATGAAGCAAGCATTTAACATCACCAACTAAAGCTCTCGTGCAAACCCTTGGATTCCGGAACTTGACTGGGCCATTGTTTGAAAAGACTCTTATATAAGACCTTTTGTGTTTGTCTTAATATGATCTATAAATTTGTTTTACTTTTCCTTATATAAAGGTTTTCATTAGGTTTAAATTTGGCACTGGATTGGTATAAGTGTATTTTTGCTTGTGCTTCATATTCCCTAGCGAAAACTTTAAAACCCTATAAACCAAAAGTTGTCAAGTAAGAGCTGAGTGTCACTAACAAATAAAATGTTCTGTTCATTATTTGGTAAAGGAATTATAGAAGTTTATATTTCACTGCCTGGTTTTAGATATTTTGTGAATGAAAAAACATGTAGTTAAAGTTTAACCGAAGTACCGAACAATAAACAAAAAAATAACCAATAGAATACAGATATATACGAATTTGACAAAGAAAAAGGAGCATAGTGATTATCTAAAACCAATACAAAAATATATAGAGATTATCATTAACAAGAAAAAAAAAGATTTAATAGAGAAAGGTCTTGACAATCAGAATCCTATATAAGTAATTAAGATTCTAAAACTCCTCTCTGCCGCTTATACTTTTTCTTCTTGTCTCTCTATTTTTGATAACAATGGAGGGAGGTGATGATCAACTCAAGCGTTTGCAGAGAGAGAAGAGATTATTAAATATTTTGTCTGTTGGCACGGAGAGAATGGTTAGAGCTTTTAGCTATGAGGATAACGGAGAAACATCCACTGAAGGTCATGCTAGTGTGAAGAATAAAAAGAGAGAGAGAAGCGATATTAACAACGGTCTAAGGAGCACAACGACGATCTCCAGATTGAGCAAACGACTGAAGATTGATGAGTGCGAGAATCAAGACCCGAAACAAAACCCTAATCTTCATGCTTCTTCTCCAAGTTTGTGCCATGTAGCGACCAAGAGGCCTCAAAAAGTGGTTTCAAACAAATCGGTAAGACGAAGAAAGCCGGTTAGAGTTATAGTGACGGATGAAGATAGGACGCCGCCGGAATGGCTGGTCAACATGATGAGAGAAAAGAACAGTGTGGATGCAAAGCTGATATTTGTCAAGGTTCTTACCAATAGTGATGTTGACAAAGGTCAGACACGTCTCTTGATGCCCTGGAACCAGATACTGGATATGGGCTTCTTAAACAAGGAAGAGTTAGGAATGATAGATAAACATTACAAAAAAAGGTTACTCAGAAGAAAAAAACATTACAAAAAGATTAGTGATTGTGACAAAGGAGCGGATGTGATCTTGGTGAGTTCTGAGGGTCAACAGAAGCTTAAGCTCAAGAGATGGGATATGAGCTCCACTTCCAACTACGCCTTGGGTTCAGGATGGAACAAGGTCGTCGCCGGTAACAGTCTAGAGAAAGGCCAGAGGATTCGGGTCTGGTCCTTCCACTCCCTAGACAAGCTCTATATTGCTCTAGTTCTTCTGGATCCAGCTCCAGCTACAGATCCAACACCAGCTCCGGCTATCCCTCTGATTCCAGATCCAGCTCCATCTTCACCTCCGGCTCCGGTTGTTACTAGAGATTCTGACGAGCTATATATATCTCAAGCTGAGGCTCAAGAAGAGAGTGACATAATACTTCCAGTTCCAGTCCCTGCAGATAAAGATTGGGAGTGCCTAAATTTATTTGCTGAAGTGCCCGAGGAGACAATTCGTCTCGAGGCTCTACAAGAGGCAAATAGGAGGAGGTCACTGGTCTCCGACACAGAGCTGGACCTCGAGCTCCGGTTGTAACTAAGAGATTCCAGCCAAAAACAGCTCTGCTATGTGACTAATTTCTCTTGCTTTTTTGGTCTTTTTAGTTGTGGATTCTAGCTCTACTGCCGTGGTTTGCCATGCAAGTACTTTTTTCAGACACTCGAAGATGGTTTTTTGCATGTCCTTTTTATGGGGGTGTTATTTTTATTTTTTAGACTAATTATTGTGCAAGTACTTAGATTAATTATTGTGCTGATTTTCATGCAAGTACTTAGATTAATTATTGTGCTGATTTTCATTCCTTAAATAGGTCCTTTTTGTTTGAACGGATGATGTTTGTTTTGGCAAGTTTTATTTCGCACTTGCCTTTATTTCATAAGATAAATATTCCTCGTAAGATAGCGGAACTAACCAATTACATTACGAAAGAAATGAACTATATATACAGACAGATCTTTGACTCAATTGGTCCTCTAGGTAGACACTAGACAGTGACGTACTTATGAGCCACGAGAAGAAGCCAAGCCATGTTCTTCTGCTGAGCCTCTCTGAAGAATACTCAACTAGCTTTTTATATAGCTCAAGATGTTTCATCGCGAGGTTGTACAAATTAAATAAGAGGTAAGTAGGAGGAGGCTCACTGGTCGCCGTCCCAGAGCTGGACCTCCAGTTCTGGTTGTAGCTAGAGATTTCAACCCAAAAAGCTCTGCTATGGGACTAATCTCTGTTTATTGTCGACTCTAGCTCTATTGCCGTGCCATGAAAGTTCTATATTTAAGGCATTTTCTAGGGTGTTTTTTTTCCCCCTTTATTACGAGTGTTGTTTAGATACTGCTGATATTTCATGCGTGCATTCTGTAATTCCTTGATTGTCTGAACGGTTGATGTTTAAAAAACGTACTAGAAAGTTACTATATCAACATTCATTCAACGCAACACATCATATGTTTTTGTTTTGCTCGGTTGGAGTATACCTGGTTAAGAAACACAATGCCAGTCTTTTACCAAAAAAAAAAAAAAACACAATGCCAGCTTCTGGAGGGACTAATAGACGGAGCCCGGACAAAACTCCATCAAGAACATGGTCTGCCTTACGATAGTGCATTTCTAATATGGAAGGTAATTGGAGAAGTAATTCACACAATCCAGGAACCACCTCACCAAAAAAGTTAGCTGACTCTTCTCTAGAAATTTTCTGCATCACAACAAAACAATTGTCTTTGAGTACTTTATATATGCCCCCAAGTGTAAAATGCTCACCTTAAGAGAAAATGAATAAAAAAACACAAACAAACTAAGAAAGTAGTGCAAGGCAAAGAGCGTGTCGAGTTAACCATTGACTCACTTGGTCCTCTGGACATTGTTTGGAGCTCTTCTTCAACAGGTGGTGGCCAAACTAGAGATGAAGAGTTAGCCACAAGAGGCAAATACTGAAGAATTGACCTAAGATATGCCCTCCTCTTCTTCATTGATTATTGCCTTCCCTAATTTCTTGAAAAAGATTTTAAAAACATGAGATAAAAAATGTCTGCAAATGAATCGACATCTGATATATGTTGTATCTATATGACAGCGCGTTGACTTTATTAGCTTGAAGAAAAAGAAACCCATTTTATTTCTTTATAAACAGATGACACCAAAGTCAAACAAAGAACACGTTCATTTACCCTGCCAGCTAGTAAAACAACGTGTAGTCTGTCCGCTTTGATTAGAAACGGCACGTAGTTTCTATGAACTTAAACCGAACAAATATACCGGTTTATTTCGGTTAAAAATGGCTTCCTTGTGATTTTGATTGACAAGGGAACGAACTCTGTAGAGAGAGAAAAAAATCTAGACTTTGCAAATTGCGAGAAAAACTCTGAAACATTGAGTTGAAGACCGAGTTAAATCGCCAGATTCAATGTAAAGCTTTTCTTTTGTCGCTAACTTTGTGGAATTTAGGTTATTCCGTTGAAAACCCTAGTTTCAGATTTGTGTCTCTTTTTTCCACATCTCGCATCTTCGTTGATTCCTGGTTTCACAATTTGGATGTAGATTTTTCGTGCAACCATGGCTGGGGTTATGCAGAAGTTCCTTATTGCATCAATGTTCATGTGGATTCTTCCTATTGCGATATTATATGGATTCAACAATGATTTGCTTCCTGGTAAGCCTTGATGCATCTTTAGATTATGGGATCAACTTTTTCTCGAGGTAAGTTCACATGAAAGCTTAAATGTCCAGGTTTGACTTGATGTTATGAGGAAATTCTTATTGTATACATGATTTTTCCTTTTGAGTTTTGTTTAATCGTGTTTGGAGTTCTTGAATTGAAATTCTGTAAGAAGGTTTTAGATTAGAAACTCTAGTTAGAAGTTCTTGCTTGTTAACTTGGTGTGGGTTTTGAGAGTGGTGACTGGTAAGTAAAGAAAGAACTCATTTACACCTGTTCTCGTATTTGTTAGACTGAGAAAGATGTATCATTTTTTGTTCAAATTTAGATTGTGAGTAGTATCATATGGTGTTTGGATTATAATTATGAGTTTTCTCTGGATCTTTCTTTGACTAAATCACTGAGGTTTCAGTTGCACAAGGGTATAGTTTTAAGGAGTATGATGATTTTGTAAGAACCAGAGGGCATTATGTTGCTAGTTTACAGGTTCCCCTTTGCTATCAAGTCTGTTCTAAAACTATGATATGCATATCTAAGTAATTCCTGATAATAAGTTTAGTCTTGTAGATTATGAGTGATTGGATTGTGGCTTGTAGTAGGAGGTTTTTTCACATAAAGCATTTCAAATTGAGTTTAACCCTGAGAACCACCATTTGAATAAGTTAGGAAAGATTTTATAAGTTTCTGTTAGGGGGAGCAAATATCATGAACTCTTCATTGTTTTACTTATAGAATCATCTTAGCTTCTGCAAACATTCTTTGTTTTTTTAGTGGAACTTGATTTTGGAGAATAGCTAATTCTTGGGATCTGATGGCAGATTAGAGAATTTTCTAGTGGTTATGTAGTATATTCCCAGATTTAGTTATGTAATAGCAAATATGATAGTTACTGACCGTTTAAACTGCAACCATAGGTGTTTCCAGAGATTTTACCACGTCTTACACTACTCTGTTTAAATCTTTGACAGGTTCAACAACATTGTCTCCACATTCTCTGACACTACTTAGTGGATTTCTTGCGGTGGTATCAGTCAATGTAGTGATTGTTTTCTACATCTGTCTGGCCTTGAAAGAACCTGTGGATAAACACAAGCCAGACGCTTCTTTTGTGGCAGAGGCCAAAGATAGTGTGAAGAAATTGACATCAGGAGTCACAAGTACAGACCCTGCGCTCAAGAAACAAGAGTGAGCTAAAAACACATTCCATTATCTTAAAACAAGGAACAGCGTTAGATTGCATCAGATGGAGCAGAGCTCAGGTTCTTGCAATGTATTGTTTTGTAACTGCAGAAGTTCTTGGCTGCTGTGTCATTCTGTACTGTGACATCTGAGGGTTTTGGGTTGGTTGAGTAGAAAAATACGCCATGTTGATTTTGAACAGAGCCAAGAGCTAATGTTTTAGGACAAAATTTCACAAAACCATAACAGTTGTGTCCATAATTGTCTAATTTTAAGCAGGTTGATCGGTTTTGTCCATACTTCTCTGCCACATACTCGTGACATTCTTCGAGTCTAAGTTAGCTCAAGAAAACAAATATTAAATTATAGATTCGGTGATGAATAGGAAAGTAACTCAATCCTGGTTCCCGTCCAAAGAAATGTGTGGACAAAATTGATCAACTTTCATATGAAAAAAGTGAAAAGTAACTTGCTAAATATTCTTTTGAAAAATTCATTTTATTTTCATATGAAGTTGAAGTTCCTTAGTTTTTCTCTAAATTGATAACAAGAGTATTGAGTTGGGCTCAGTTTCTTAGTTTTTCTCTAAATTGATAACAAGAGTATTGAGTTGGGCTCAGTTTCTTAGTTTTTCTCTAAATTGATAACAAGAGTATTGAGTTGGGCTCAGTTTGTTGTTGCTTGGTGCTGTGGGATCATCTTCACTATCATAGTTCTGGCGGCTGCACATCTTATCCTTTTCTCGGCCCCTACATCGGCCAGCGGTGCAATGCTGAGGATATTCTAATTTCTCTTTGCTGCCTCTTTAATTTTAGGGCAGATGCTTAGATGTATGTCAATTCTGCACATGCATGCTTTGTCTTGAAGAGGAGACATATATAAAGGCCTCATCAAATATCCTAGCGTATCTCCACCTCTTGTGCTCTTCATCAGTTTTGGTCATCAGCTTGATCATTGAGATCAAAGCATTTATCTTCCTCTGGTACTCTTTTGAGCTGATAGCTGTCAACAACGTAACACAGCTGAATTACATTCTAGAACGTCACAAGATAAATGCTCTTCATCAGTTGTCAACAACACAGCTGATTTACATTCTAGAACGTCACAAAGACATACAAGTATGTTTAAGATATGCATCACGGTGTTTTCTTCAGCTTTCTTTCTCAAAATTGACAATGTGTGAGCTGAAGAGTAGATTGCAAACAATAATGCATGGTACATGCAATCAAGTAGTGGATTTGACCAAACACTAAGGCTCTTCTCTTTAAGATCGGGAAATAATTAATTTTCAGTTGTGAGTCTTTGTTTTCAATGTTTTATAGACTTCCACGAAATTTCCTAGTTATCCAAACCTACAAAGATGAAAAGCGCCATGCAAAAGATTAAAGATTTATTTTTAAAAAAAATGTCAAATAAATTAGAAAATATTACTTGACTGTCCGGACTTTTGGTTCAATTTGGATTCGATCGAATGTTTTTTACCTTTATATTTTACCACTATTTTTTTTTTAATCTTTTCTAAGGTATCGCTAAACCTTTTTTCTCCTTAACAAAAAAAAATATATACAAATTTTATATTTTGATGTGAAATGATTACATTGATAATTTTTTCCTATCAAACTACACTAACATTATATATCTTTATTGGAAAAAAAAACTATTTGTTTTCAAATAAGTCTAATTCTACATCCCTAAATTAGTCGAGCTACTTCTTAGCAAAATAAATAAATTAGTCGAGCTACTACTAGAAAAAAGAAAGAAAGAAAGAAAGAAATAAGAAGGTGGGTGTTATACGCCACGTAAGACGGGGTCAAATAACGAACAACACAACTGCTATTTCTTTCCGTACTACTATTTCAGTCCGCTCTCATGTGTCAAATAAAGTCAAAATCTTTCGTCTCCGCGTATTCATTCTCCTACGAATACGTATTTTTATTTTCTTCTCTGTAAAAATAAAACGATCCCTTAAAACTGTAAAATTTCAGTATACCATGTTACGCGTACCATTGCTTATATATATTTTCCAAAAAAAATTATATATTACGTACACCATTGGAATTGTATATGCATTTGTGAAGGACTAATTAAACCAATTTTTTTTTGGTGTGCAAAGGACCAATTAAAACATATATGGTCTGGTCTGGTCTGGTCTGTTAGATTAAGAAAGAAGCGTATGTGGTCTCTGTTATCCATATAGGATTAATTATAATCTGTAATATTAAAAGCTAAAATTATCGACGTTTAGTTCTAGTCTATAGTATATGTTATTAGACAAGTATTTATTGGCAATAGCAAAGCAAAACTGACTTAAATAATCCAAACAAATCCTTACTTAATTAGCGTGTCAAGAAAGATGCAGAATTTTTCTAAGATTATATACTTTCTTTTTGACTTTAGTTGTTGTTTAGATAAACTACTTATTTTCTCTCCGGCAGTATTTGACTTCAATTTAAAATGCTTTTGTTACCTATATATGACAAAGAAGATGAAAAGCTCACTGATTAAGTAAAAGTGGCAACACAAATTAGAAAAGAAAATTCTTTATATATTAACTGAGAAGCAATTAGTAAAAAATACATATGCTAAAATTAATATATATGTTTAAGTGAAAAAAAATTGCTTGTGTTTTTTTTTTAAGCTACTACACATTTGCTGTCAATTCACCAGCAGCATTCAAAATGACAATGAATTGTAAATTTAAGTTAGTATGACAATGAATTGTAAATTTAAGTTAGTATTACTTCATTATTTATGGTCAAAAATCGGCACTTGAGTTAAACGGAATTGTAAATGAGGATGTTAAGTTGATATAGACGATAGTTTAATAACTATATCTTGCAGTCCACACATAATATGGTAACGCGTAGAAAAGACTGAAGTGTGGAGAATCAGATATTGAAAAAAGATTAATTATATGTTATAAGCATTTAATAATATAAAATTAAAACCGACCACATAACTTATTCTTATCACTCACAAAACGATGGCAATACGAGTATTTAAATTTTAATCTCCCAGTCAATACACGCCAAAACATGTGGAAATCTTTCTTCATCATGTTCACTATAAATACATCACAAATTTTATTTCTCTTAAAAGTTCCACAAACCTCTCTCTCTTTCTCTATTGCTTACGTCATCAAATCAATGGCACTGATCCAAAACCCTAATATAAAACATGTTCCATTTCTAAGAAACAGAACTCCAGAACAAACACTCTTTCTTCCTCATACTCTTTCTCTCCCTACTTGTAACCAAAACTCCAAAAGACTTGTGATTACTAATTCTTCTTCTTCTAATTCTTCTCTATTATCACCAGTGATTCTAACTGCTCCGGTTGCTTCTTCTCCTCCTCCGCCGGTTTATCGTGCACCGAAGTCCCCTTGCTCCTGTGGGGCAGTGACTGTACCCTTATCTCGGGTATGGAGAGAGATACAAGGATGTAACAACTGGAAAGATCTCATCGAACCTTTAAACCCTCTTCTCCAACAAGAGATCACTCGCTATGGCAACTTAGTTTCCACTTGTTATAAAGCCTTCGATCTAAACCCTAATTCAAAACGTTACTTGAACTGCAAGTATGGCAAACAAACCCTACTTAAAGAAACCGAAATCGACCAACCTGAGGACTACCAAGTCACCAAATACATCTACGCCACACCGGACATCAACATCAGTCCGATCCAGAACGAGACTAATCGACGAGCTCGTTGGGTAGGTTACGTTGCAGTTTCATCCGATGACTCGGTGAAACGTATAGGGAGGAGAGACATTGTGGTGACTTTTCGTGGAACGGTAACTAACCCTGAATGGTTGGCAAATTTCATGAGCTCTTTAACTCCGGCTAGGTTCCATCCTCATAACCCTCGTCTCGACGTGAAGGTCGAATCCGGGTTCTTGAGTTTATATACATCCGATGAGAGTGAGAGCAAATTCGGGCTAGAGAGCTGCAGAGAACAGCTTCTGTCCGAAATCTCGAGATTGGTGAATAAGTACAAAGGAGAAGAGATGAGTATCACACTCGCTGGACATAGCATGGGAAGCTCATTGGCTCAACTTCTTGCTTATGACATTTCGGAACTAGGTTTAAACCAGAGAATTGGTGAGAGAGATATTCCGGTGACCGTGTTCTCATTCGCAGGTCCTAGGGTTGGTAACTTGGAGTTCAAAAAACGTTGCGAGGAGCTAGGTGTTAAGGTTTTGAGGATCACTAACGTCAATGATCCGGTCACTAAACTTCCTGGTGTTTTATTCAATGAGAATTTTAGGGTTCTACGTTATCATGAAATTCACCACTACCAATTACATTATCTTCTTCCTGGTGAATATGCTCATCGCTAATTATAACGTTTTCATCTCTTCTTTCACGACTACTACTAGGACCCGATCTAAAATCCTCCCCGTGAGAAAACCATATATAATATCCTGGTGTAAAACCTCCCCAATATAAATGATTCCAAACAATGTCTTTTGCAAGAAAATGATCATTACAACATTTGACACAAGGACATGCCATAATACCTTCGATACGCGTCATTTCTTGATTAGATGCAAACTGCATGAATTCCATTAAACCTTCCTTGTACTCCTGCCCCATAGCTCCGGTCTCATCATCTAATCGATTATACATCCACTCTCTAATTTTATAAATATTATGAGAAGACATTTTTTTTTCCAAGATTTTCTTGTGTTTCTGTTTTTTTTTTTTTCTCTTTTTTCTTGTGTCTATGATTCTTTCGTTGTCTAGTATATATATAAAACTTTTCCGACTAACATTTTGTCGGAAATTCGTCGGAAATGCTAAAGTGGTTACCTTTAATATTTCCGACGAATTTCCGACAAGTTTCCGAGCAGTTTCCGATGACATTGGATTGTCGGAATTTTCCATGGTTTCCGACAAATATTTCCGACGAAATTCCGACGAATTTTTAATCGTCGGAAAAGTTTTTATGTTTCCGACGAATTTCCGACGAAATATTATTTTCTTGGAAGTTTGTCGGAAATTCCTCGGAAATCCGTCGGAATAATTCCGACTAAAAATTTCGTCGGAAATGTTCGTCGGAAATTGCTATGTTTTCTTGTAGTGTATGAGCTTCCATGGAGCTGTTCATGTTATGCTCATGTTGGAGTGGAACTCACGCTAGATTTTTTCGATGTTCAAAACATTTCTTGCGTTCACGATCTCCAAACCTATATCGATCTTCTAAACCAACGCAGAATGAACTCAAGATCAGCCGATTCCGATTCCGATGAGGATGAGGAGAGTGACAATTTTGCCTTAGAGTTTTTGAAGAGAAATGGTGAGAAGGTTATGTTCTTGAAGGGACAACGAATGATGCATTGGATAAATGTCGTGGATCTACTTTTTTCTGTATCTAACCATGTGTCCTATTGTAATATTTTTTAGGACCAAAATTTAGGTTTTTTTTTTTTATAATTAATTTAACATGGAACAAAATAATGAAAAGAGTATCTATAACGTACAACGTATATATTACAAGAAAGTGAAAGTTGTTTATTTTTTATGTTTGAATCTATATCTCTTTGTATATAATTTAATTGCATTGTTCATCTTAAAAAAACATAATTTTAGATGTATAGATCAATCATCTTTCCAAAGTCGCAAACGCGTAAATGCATGTGTTTCATACTTTCATATCTGCGTTTACATTTTTCCAATAGTTAAAATATTAATATTTTAATTAAGATGTAAAGAGATGTAAGCTATTAAACTTAGTGTAGTAAACAAGGCAAAATTTTGTTCTAAATTGTTTTTGGTTGAATGTGTGATACAATGCGTTGAATTTATGTCATTTATTTCACTTTATCGTACTTTATACCTAATTGTATGTTTCATGCAAATTAGAATTGACTAATAACTAAACATTCTCCCTAGTTGGAGTTTTAGTTTCTGTCATTAATTAACTCCACTTTTTCGTCCTTTTAGTATAGTTCTATGCTTCATGCAAATTGGAATTGACTATCTAAACATTCTCTGTAGTTGGAATTTTATCACCGAATTTATATTATAATTAAGATGACTAAGCTATAGTCTCCTGATCTCCTCTTTGTTATTCCCTAATTCCTCTCATGGTAATTAGGTCAAACTTTGACTAACGTTAGACCGTTAGTGAATATTGCATGACCCCTTCAATTTCATATGTGAGAAGACTATTTTTGTTTTTCTATTTTGTGCTTATATATATGATTCAAAGTAAATGACTTCGATCCTCGTTTGTCAAAGTGGAAACATAAAATGAAGCTTTTTTGTGTGTGAATCATCTTATCATAAGAAATGTTTGATGTAATTCAAATGATATATCGTCTATCGATCACATATAATTTGATTATGTTGAATGGCTTTACAATGATAGGATATATGATTATATGTAAGAATGTGATAAAGCTGTCTTAAGAGTATTTGAAGACCATGTGCAAATTTTTATATTAAATCTAAACATATATTTGATATTATAATTTTTTAAAAATAAAAATAAGGGCAATTTACACAAATGGCACTAAAAAGTCTTATTATTCTTTTGAAACTTCCAAAAATAGCACACAAAGTTTTTAATCCTCTAATTAATTAAAACAGAAAATACACAAAACCTAATTTTATAAAACCTAATTTCATTTCTTCCACACCCGACGGCTTCGCTTCCAACAAACTTCACCTTCGAAAAACTTGACAACTCCGTCGACCTCGACTTTCGCCGTCGACTTCGACTTTCGCCGTCGACCTCGACTTTCGCCGTCGACCTCGACCTTCGTCGTCACCGGATCTGATTTCTTCACCGGAGATTCGAAGACTTTGTCGGATTCATTCTTCTCCGGTGAGTTTGTGTAATTTCCCTCACTCTCCAATTCTTCTCCGGCGAGTTTCTGTAGTCCTTTCATTCACTTGATTCGATTCAACAAATGCTGAAAGATAATTGGTGAAATTCGATTCCGATTTAGGACATTGATTAGATCACTGTCATTTTCACTGCGATTTGTGACATAGGGCTTTGCTATAAGTGAATCAATTTTAGGATACTTGTATTTCAAACATTGTTGATGAAAATGGTGTACTTGATATGTTTAATTCATAGTACATTCTTTTGTTCTCTAGATTGCTGAAATTAAGAAATGATTGAGTACTAGAAATGAATTTGAGGCTTTATTGTTCTCTCTTTGGCTGAAATTAAGAAATGATTCTCTATAATATTTGTGATTTTTGATTCCATTGGAAGATTTTCTAATCGTTGGTATGGTTTGTGTTGTTTCTCTGCTCTATTTATAACCAAACAAAGTGTTCTTAAGTTCCTTGCACTTAATGAATCTATAGATGTATGAATACAAAAGCTACCGTCATTCTGTGATATATAGACACTATTATATGAATTCATAAGCTTGCTATGTTAGCTTCCATTGTCATTGAAAGTTTGAAGGTACAGAAATCTGTGATTTTGTGTTGCTAAGTATTCAGGATAGCCTTCCCGAAAATCTTCTATGATTCTGTGTTGCTTTTAAGATATTTATTATTACTATCATATGGTAATTGTAGTATTTTGGAGCAAAAACGTTTTACAATACATTCATGTTGCAGTTTATAATCTTTATGTATATATGAATTTGGGGTTGATGTTTCAAATGGCGGATGTTCTTATGAATCTGTGGAACTTATCTACTAGATTTAGTTTTTTTCTGCTGCTACAAACAGCCTACAGCCGAATCAGTTTAATAGAGAAGCCGACTGCATTCTTGTGTGAGAAATACACGAGCTTACCATCACCGCAACTTTCTCAGATACTGAATATTGAAGCATCTAATCATGTAAAATCAGTCTCTTCTTTTTATGGTTTAAACTAGTTTTGGGAAAGATTTATAGTAATTCGGGATGGCCTTCCTGATTTGGGAATGATTTATAGTAATTCGGGATGACCTTCCTAATTTGGGAAGGATTTATAGTAATTCGGGATGGCCTTCCTAAAATATGTAATTGAATGTATTAAGTCTGCTGAATGTGTTTGTTTTTGTGCAGCTGAATGTATTTTGCATCTCACCTTCAAAACCTGATGATCCTGAAGATAAAGTTTCATTGGAAGACGAAGATGATCCAGAACTAAGTCTGCTGGTCGAGCTTCTAGGTAAAGGTTACAAAATGAAATCTGAAGATTGGACAAAATGTTCAACCACTACTTGAACGCAAGACCTATTGTTATTGTAACAAAACATATAACCAGTAAACAAAGCTTCTCATTCGTGAATATCTTACAAATGAGCATCCTGAATATGTTTTAGGAAAGTCATCCTAAATATGTATGTGCCCTTCCTAAAACATATACAAATGAGCATCCTGCTCTATTCCATGTACAACACTGATAGAAGAAGCTCCGACTGATGGATGAAGTACCTACAAGCAAAAAACATAGACATGAAAATAGACAGAGAGTTAAAATTTAAACACATGACTAGAAAGTATCATATCTGTATATTGTATTATTTAGGGAGGCCATCCTAAAATACATGTATCCTTCTTAAAACCTATGAAAATGAGTTTTTACCTTCTACTTTTCATGTGCAGCCAACAAGATTTCTAATGCAAAATCAAACTAAAAAAAATCCAAAGAGACAACAAGATTAGCTGCAAAAGACAACAACATTCCTATAATGTCTGAACAATCCATGGGTGGAATACAAATGATTATAATATCCCAATTGGGCAAAACTTGGTGCTTCTAATAAGCTCTGTAGACTCTGTAAAATAAAATAGTTGTAGCCTGTTATTAGATAAAAGAAATCATGGATTGTATTGTTAGCTGTGATTGAGGAACAAATTAAATAACACTCATAGTAAACTAGAAACTCGAGAGCAACAATCAAATCCAAGAGCTATTAATCAAGAACTAATCACTAAAAGAGTTCAAATCGAGAGCTAATCAAATGGAGGAGCTAATCAAATCCAGAACTATATCCACATCCAATCAAAGCGAGAGCTACACTCACAAGCTAATCAAATCTAGAGCAAAATCACAACGTTGATCAATTTTAGGAGCTACAAACCCAGAAATACATCCACATCGAACCAAATCCAGATCTACAATCACAAACCTCTAATCAAATGCAGGAGTTACAAATCGACATCAAACCATATCCAGAGCTACAATCATAAACGTCTAATTAAATGCAATGGAGGAGTTACAAATCCAGAGCTACAATCACATACCCATGATTTGGTCGTGAATCCCAGAAATTAACTCTTTGATTGAAGCTCTAAGATCGGAAGCTTCAACGGAATTGAAGATCGGAGATTGGAAGCTTTACCGGAATTGAAGATTGGAGATTGAAAGCTTCAGAGGAAACAACAATCGTAAGCTTCTCCGTCTAATGTGTTTAATGTTTATTTTCTATTTTAATTTATTAATTCTTAAAAATCAAAAATAAGGTAAATAAGTGCTATTTTTGTCAAATAAACTTGGGGATGCTATTTTTGTCACAAAAACTTCATTTAGGACTATATGAGACCATTTAATAGGGTTGCTCCTACCTTATAGTTTATAAACATTGAAAAATGAAAATACTCATTTTTGTTATTGATTATGGGCTTTTTGGGCTAAATAGACAACATTTTGGCCCATTGTCTGTTATAAGACGACAAGAACTTATAATTGCACCGAATTACATGGCACATAATTCAAAAAAATAATTAAAAAACTTGAAATTAAAACCACTTCATGCGCATTATGTCTTCTCTATCATTTGATCCTTTTGCCAGCTCCATCTCTCTCTCTCTCTCTCTCTCTCTCTCTCTCTCTCTCTAAAACGAGTCTGCAACTTTATCTCTCTAGAAATCAGAAAAAAACGATGTCGTCCGATGACGAAGGAGGAGAGGAGTATCTCTTCAAGATAGTGATCATCGGCGACTCTGCCGTCGGGAAATCGAACCTTCTCTCTCGCTACGCTCGTAACGAGTTCAACGCTCATTCGAAAGCCACGATCGGCGTCGAGTTCCAAACGCAGAACATGGAGATCGAAGGCAAAGAGGTTAAAGCTCAGATTTGGGATACTGCTGGTCAGGAACGGTTCCGTGCCGTCACTTCCGCTTATTATCGCGGCGCCGTCGGAGCTCTCGTCGTTTACGATATTAGCCGTCGATCCACGTTTGAGAGTGTTGGTCGTTGGCTTGATGAGCTTAAGAGTAAGTCCCTAGCTCTTTGATTTAACTGGTTGATTTCAAATGCGATTTTGGTTGAGCTAAGATAGTCTTGCTCAATTTGAATAGTGGATTTAGTCAATTAGGTCCTGAAAATTGTAAATTAGGAAGCTGAATTTGGTGGAAATGTGGACTTTCTTCTCCAGATTTGGTAGAGTGTGCTGATTGATCAAGATTCTTACCATTGTATGAACTAGGCCTCGGCGTTCGGGTATTCGGAACGGTTCCGGTTCTAGAGTTTAGGATCTATATAGGAACCGAAACAATTTCAGTTCTGGTTTGATTTAGATCTCAAGATTTAGTGGTGACTTATTCTTTACTTAGGCCAAATGTGAAGTCTTCTCCATATGAATCTGTTCAAGTTTGATTTGAATGCTAGTTTGTTAAACCTTTGTTGATTCATTTTTGGTTGTGTTTTATTTTGGCAGCACATTCGGATACAACGGTTGCGAGGATGCTGGTGGGAAACAAATGCGATCTAGAAAGCATAAGAGCGGTGAGCGTGGAAGAAGGCAAAGCATTAGCGGAAACGGAAGGACTATTCTTCATGGAAACATCAGCTCTCGATTCAACAAACGTTAAAACAGCTTTTGAAATGGTAATCCGCGACATTTACACCAATGTTAGCCGGAAACAACTCAACTCCGACACTTACAAAACCGAACTAAGCATGAAGAACCGAGTAAGTCTCGTTAAGGATGATAACAAAGGCTCCACACAAGGCTTTGGTTTCTCTTGCTGTTCTTCTTCGTGACCAAATTATTTTTCTTTTGCTTCGTTACTCTATAAATTTTCACAAGATTTTTGTCTTTTGAATTTTTTTTAACCATAGAAAAAAAGAAAGAAAAGCGAAGATCATATAGAATTCATAAGTTGTAATGTTTCTTTCTTTTATGTGTGGATCGTATAGTAAACACTTTATACGAGAATTTATCATTGCATAATCTCTATTTATCTCTTTAATTCCCATATATTTTATATTTATGTCAATTGAAAAAACAATTAATTTTTCGACAATTTCAATGACATCATCTAATAACCACTATCGATGAAACTTAGGCAAATAACGTTTAAGTGGCTCCAATGGTCACTTGAGTCTCAACCACCACTCACAATCTTAAAAGATGATATGCGCAAGAATCCGACCGCTAATTTCGTCACCATTAGCCTTCACTATCTCCGCAACTAAACACTCTCCAATCAATCTCCGATTATTCCCTCGCCGCTCCTTCTCCACCGTAACCGCCATGTCTTCTTCAACCACACAGAGTCAGATCATAGAACACATCGTCTTATTCAAAGCTAAAGACGATGCTGACACCAACAAAATCACCTCCATGATCAACAACCTCAACGCTCTTGCCTCTCTCGATCAAGTGCTTCACATCTCCACCGCTCCTCTCCACCGTCTTGGATCCTCCGCCTTCACCTTCACTCACGTCCTCCATAGCCGTTACGGATCTAAGGAAGATCTTGCCTCCTACGGTGCACATCCAGATCACGTTCGTGTTGTTAAGGAATCTGTGTTACCGGTCTGCGATGACATCATGGCCGTTGATTGGATCGCCGATCGAATCCCCGGAACCATAGCGCCGCCTCCTGGTTCGGTTGCGAAACTCACGCTACTCACATTGAAAGAGAATCTTTCCGCTGAGGCGAAATCGGAGATTACGGGAGTAATTAAGGGACTAAGTGAGAAATTTCCAGGAATTGATCAGATTACTGTTGGAGAAAACTTTTCTCCAGCTAGAGCTAAAGGTTTCTCTATTGCTTCGATTGCGTATTTCAAGAATTTGGGTGAAATGGAAGCTGTGGATGCTCAGAAGGAGTTGGTGAATTCGCAAAAGGATAAGGTTCGTGATTATGTGGATTCTACCATTGTTGTTGAGTTCTTGGTGCCGTCTTCTTCACAGTCTTCTAGTCTGTAAAAAAAGGTTCAATTTCAATCCTTTGAACACTTTGGGACCTATTTGTCATTTGAGAATAAAGCATTGTTAATTAGGAAATTTGAGTGTGATGATGATATATGCTTTTGTTTTTCCCTTTGAGGAACTCTGTTGGAATAAGAATTTTTAAGCACAAAGAAACTTTGAGCAATCAATATGACTTATGGTATTATAGTAGCTTGCTGCATCAGCTGCTCTTAGAATTGTACACTGATGCTAATAAAGCTGAAAGCCCACATGATGGAATCTTGGCTTCTTCGGTGATATAGGTGTAGTAGTATCTATTTTTCTTGATTCTCTATGGTCTGAAATGTCGATTACATGCGAAAGTTTCTGTATCCGGTTCAAAAGGGATTCTCATTGTTGACCATTAAAATGATGTTTTTGCTTATCGGCAAGATGAATGTAGAACTTTATAAATATAACAAAGATATTTGTTCTTCTAAGCTGGATTTATTGTTCTCGACCTTAAGTTTTATCATCATCTCGTTCTGTCTTTAGTCCTTGAGAAACAGTATGAACGATATATTTGTAGTCCAGCCCTCACATTTACCTACCAGAGTAAGTTAAAGAAAGAAACTAACTTGTAATAATGACAGATGGATAATAATTATCACTTTATGAAAGAATGGTCGTACAACCTGATGAGCGACCTTTGCTGATCTCTCTGTGAGATCACAAAAATTCAATATAGCTTTCCCTAAAAATATCTAACACATCCCAAAAAGACCAAACACATAATAGGATAAAGAGTACACAAAATCCCCCACCCCACCCTCCCCAAAAAACTGTCTTTCTTTACCAATACAACCAATCCAAAAGAAGAGACGCAACACATTGTATAGTACACACCTTTCTTCAACCAATAAGAGACTCCATCTTCATCAACCCTAACCACACGGTTTCACAAGGTTCTAGAGATGATCTCTTCTGCTAAAAATTCACAAAATCTGCTTCTGCATTTGTATAACCTCGAAGCAAGCAACTATGCCAAATAATCATGAACGAGAATCTCTCACAAAAATGACACCATCTGTGTATCAGACTGTGACTTTGATCCAAAGCTGATCATAGAGTACGAACAAGAGTAGGAACAGGAGTAGAAGCAGCTTCTGCTAACTTCTTTTGCTTCTCCTTCTCGATCTCCACTCTTCTCAGCTCCGCATGCTGTGCTATTCCGTTTGCAATCGCCTGGTAAGTGAAGTCCAGTGACTGGTTAAGGTTCTGGAACCTCTGCGCATCTGATGCCTGCATAACTGTATAATAGGCAAGGACATGATTATTAAGCACTAGAGAAAATGAAGCTCCATATAGTATTTTATATAGATTTTCTTGTATTTTACGTGGTCAAAAACGGTAATCAGAGGATTTTATATAGTGGTACCTCTGATTGCATCGACAAAGAATACAAAGGCATCCACCTCATCGATGGGTGACTGAAACTCGTCCTCATCACTAAAGTCATCATCAGAATCATCGTCATCATCATCATCATAGTGGAAGGCCTTTGCCTATGAAACAAATAAACAAATTGGGAAACAGTCAAAGCCAGCAAAAAAAAAAAAAAAAAAAAAAACCATGCTTCGCAGAAGTATGTAAACACTTGACAAACCTGTGCAGCTAACTTCTGCAGTTTAGCACTTTGTGCTTCATCTCCATCCTCTATATCATCCATCCCCATCTCTCCATCAGACCCATCATCATCATCATCGTCATCGTCACTCTGGAGTCCATTCATTTCATCCTCATAATCTACTTCTGCCTCCTTAGCTGCTTCTGCGAGGGAAATTGGAAAGCGGATATATGTAAACATTACCATGCCAATTCAAGAGAAAATGGATCATGAGCATGACATACCAGCTAGCTGATTCTTATATGCAACTAGAAGATCAAGTGTTGCCCTGAAAACACGCTGCAGCGCTTCATCGGGTAATTGACCCCCCGGTAGAGCAAGTAATGAAGTCAAACCCAAGCAGCAAACCTTTTTATCATGTTCCCTGGTACCAAGAGAGTAACCCCTATATCAGCTAATCAAAGCGAACAATAGAATTTCCAACCATTACGCTTATAAGCTAACATGAACAAGATGTGGCATAACAAAAAGCATCAACAGTACCTTTTGAAGTTTGCTGGTAGGCCACTTTTTCTCTTTTGCTGCAACATCTGGAACCAAAGGTCAAAGACTTTGGAAGCAAGTCCCGTGTTATGCAATACACCAAGCGTCAAACCTGGATTGTAGTAAAGCATATTTGCCACCTGCGAACAGAAATCAAGATATTTTTTTTGAGAACTTCATGGTATATAATGCTGGTGCTGTTGCTATTAAAAAAACTTGGAAATCTCAACCCATCATTGTAATCATCACACAACAACAGACTAAACCGGTAAGTAGAAATCAATCAGTGTCAGGTCAACAAATCCTCCCATAGTTCTTACCACTTGTATAAGAAGAGATTTTACATACGAAGTCTCAGCCCGTTGTAACCGGTCAACAGTAAGACGCAGATATGGTTCAACCCACTGATCCACCTGCCCTTTGCAATTCTGGAAAACAACTTCAATAAGCTTTGGAGCAGACTCAATTTCACTGTCTTCAATGTTTCTGTCGGTCATAAGCTGTAGAAGCGGAAATGTGAGACATATATTAGCTATGCTTGTGCGGAAAAACTTGAGAGATGCTTTATATATGTTACAGCAGCAAAAAATGTCATGTAATACTGAATGTAATATATATTATTCCTTGTGGTTTCACAATAAACAAGAGGCCAACATCTTTTTACCACAATAGGCATGTAAAATGAACTCGAAAATTTTGTTAAAACGATAAAGGAAGATTCTATGTTACATGATATCTGCAAGAATTCCATAACCTTACAGTTCCTTACAACAATCAACAAGCACAGACATCTAACTAGCACTATCAGAAGATATACTCACAGTTGAAAGAACGTTATACAGACTTTGCTGATAGTCGGGCTCCTTGCAAGTGAGAAAATGAGCCGTTCCCCTTGATATAAAGTTGTCCATTGGAACCAAAATATCTAAATTTTCAACGAGTAACGTAAGTGAACATAAGTGAAAAAAAAATGAATGACGTGAGATGCTACAGTGATGGAGTCTGCTATAAAATCCAGAGTCTAGGCAAATTGGGAGACTGTAGAAAAGAAACCAGATGTTTGAGAAGCCATACTTGGAAAGAAATCGATTGCCCAATCAACCAATGCTTCCACCATTAAAGGCCAGAGACTCCATATATCCAAGGAAATGCTAGGTGAATAAAAGGTCATGTATGATGCAATCTCCAAAACTTCTTCAAATACCTCTGCCATAGCAAATAGGATGAGAATATAAAAGCTTCAGTGTCAATTATTAAATAGCTAGAAAAGGAAATTAATAAACTTAAGATCATGATGCTACAACACAACAAAAGGCTGACAGAAAAAAAAAATGGATTATCCAATTCCGAAAAAAATCAAACTAATGTAATGGACCCAAATGGCGCTACCAAATCAGTCCAAAAGTACATCCTCTGGACACAACAACCTTAATCATGCTTGGAGTCTACAAACTATAGCCCAAAACTATATGAGAAACTCAAGATGTCTTTCTAGACATCAGTTTACCTTGGCCATCAGTGGTCAACATTTTCTGCATTATTGGAAGTATAGTTGGTTCTATCTCAACGAACAGCTGCGGGAGACTGCTAACAGATTCAAGGATTGTACTTATGGCACGCAAACAGCCAACTGCAGCTAAAGCTCCCATGTCATCAGAGTCTTCATTGGCTTCTGACGTGTTTAGACATCTCCAAAATGCAGCCGCCTGAACAAAAGCAAAGGCAGAAATACATATTTATTGCCAAGTTTGAGTATTCAAGAAAACTAGACTCAAAGAACCAATTTTCTTACCAGATTTTGACATAATCCAAAAGCAAAAGGAGCCATCTCTTCGCCAAACTTATCTACGATGGTCTCCAAAGTAAAAACAAGGTCCTCATTCTCTACCTCATTCATGAGTTTGAAAAATTCTGATGGAAGCAGGAACACAATAAGTTTGAAGCGTTAGTTTACTTCCAACAATACTGACCATCTAGTATTCATAAAGAAGGGTAACCTACCATCAAGTAACTGAGGGAGGATTGGACGTATCTCATTTAAATCTACATTTGACCAGAACATTTTAATTAGCCACCACACAAACCCAGCACACAATCAAGAAGCCAACACACACAGATAAACAAGTGCAAACACATTCACGCATATACAAATGTGTAGGAGAAAATCACACACCCTTGCACGCCTCAACAAATGAACGCAATGCAAAAACTGAATCAACACGAACAGGGAGGTCAGGATCACGCAGTCCCGAAACAACATTGTGCAATGCTTTACGAAAGTTGTTCTGATCGGAGAAATTAATATGTGCATATTGCCCAGCTACCCAAGCGGCCTACATCCAAAAAATACAACCGTCAAACAGATCAAAGGGGATCACAAAGAATATGACATCTAATACTAAACTATCGACAGCATTGCAGCAGTCAACTAAGCAATGATGCTAAGAGTTCTAGAATAAATTGAAGTACAACAGACTTCGTGGAAATGCAAAACATAATCCTCATTCCAGTAAGCTGGTAACAATGGATTACTGAGATATCCACAACACAGTTTAAAGCCAAAAATACCTTTGCTCTAAGATGTCCAACTGGACTACTGAAATCAGGAAAAATATGTTGCACCAACATACGCTCTAGTTCAGATTTATAGGGATCCGTTTGCTTCAATTTGTCACAAAGAGCTCCAACAGCAAGCATCGCACCATCTTTTTGGCGATAAGGCTTATGCTCTGCAGGAGCTTCATCATAACTACAAACAGCGGACAAACAAGTTGTCAATAAAACACAACTGATTGGAAAAGTTCCAAGTAAAAGAGCTCAAATGTAATACCTCGTGAAGATCCCAACGATAAACTGAACAAACTTCGGAAGGTTCTCTTTCCCACGTTTTCTAACTAACTCATTTACAAAATCCATGGACGCTGTTCGCGGACTGTACAAGTCTTCAATGATATCTACAGCACAACAAATAACATTACAAAAAATATATTGAATTAAGACTTTTTAAGATCATTATTATGTAGTACTTACTGTAACCTTTCCTCACATATT